CCTGAACATCCTCGAGGACTAGAGCTTGATATCTACTATCCACAGTATGGATTCGCCATAGAAGTACAAGGTAAACAGCACGAGCAACATATAAAATATTTTCACAAAAATGAGGAAGACTTTGAGAAGCAATTAATGCGTGATCAGAACTCTGCGAAGAAAATTGGGTTGTTCTAAGATATGTTTGGTATTATGAGGATCCATATCTAGTCATTCCAAATCATCTTCGAGAGCTAGGACTCATTGAATAAATTTAAATACTTCGTGTATTATTTTTATTAAAGAATAATTTACAAAATTCCGGAAATACATGTACATGATTTGAAAATGGCCTAATTTTTTTTTCGAACAATCTTTTCCCCCTCAAAAAAAAGTGTTATTACATATGCAGAATCGTCATCAAGAATGTAATCATCGCCAAATCTCAGCGAAAGCTGGCATAACCAAAAATCGTCGAAAAACAATAAATGCACAGGTAAGGCTAAACTCACCTTATCTCGTACTTACTGTACGTATTTATCACTGACGTAATTGAAATAAATAAGGAATAGATTTTTGGAACCGATAATCATTAATGTCTTCCTCCAAAATTACTCAGGTCTTTCATAAGAGCGTTTTCCCAAGTCACTTCCTTACCCGTCGAGTACGATGCCTTCAGTCGCCGAGTCTTATGCTGAGGAACTCGGGACCTGACTTATTTCAGTCATCGTTTTCGAGAAATTTTACAAATGCAAAAGACGCTGAGGCTGGACATAAAACTGAAGCTGTGGCACCAGAAGGTTCTAAAGTTCCCAAAAAGAAACTAACGACATCTCTTAGGGAACTGGTACAAAAGAAGTTTGTTGATATTTCAAAAAAACTAAAAGATCCTGACACTCCGCCTATTCAGCCTGGGAAAAATATATGGATTGTGATACGAGACAACTGGAAGCAATTTCTGGGAATCGGCATACTAACTGACATTCTTTTTGCTTTGGTTGTGAATAAAATCAGCGAGTATCGTGTCAATTCAGCTCTAGAAAATGGTACTCGACTCAAGCCAAAAGTGCTGAAGATGAGTTTGTTCCTCGACCTCAAATTTCAGAAACCCTTATGAAAATTTTTCAGCCAAATGAACGTCAATCACATTATCATGTCGTCTGCGGAGAACATGGAACCGGGAAGACAACATTGACCAGAATGGTGGCAACGAATGTCGGAAAAGGCGTCATATATGTTGATATCCCCTCCGATTTTGAGAACTTGGGAGAAGCTTTTGGAAAGGCTATTAATTTGTCATTCTTCGAAGACGTCTCCATTACAACACTACTGATGCGGGAATTTTTTTCCGTGATGGGTGTGACTAGTGAGTCTGCCATTTCCCTTTATTAATGGAGGAGAGCTATGAAAGCTTTTCGACACGCCTCTGAAGTGTACAAAAAAAAGAATCATAAACCGCCTGTCATCATTTATGACAATATGAGCCGAATAGTTAAAGAGAATGCAAAAATTCTTGATATACTTCAAGATGACGCAAAAGATAATGCTGATGATAGAGAATATATTGCTGTGTTTGTCAGCAGTGAAGGTTCGGTGCCTAGAAGAATGGAATGTAAGTACCGATATTATTTTTGTGCTCTCGAAAATTAATATTATTTACAGATTGTGATTCTTATTTTTAGCACGTAGTGCCTGGTCACGAGCAGATAAACCGGTGATGAAGATTGGCGATCTCAGTGAAAAGGAATCAATGGATTATCTAGTCAACAAGCTTAAGATCAACTCTGTAGAAGCAAAAAAATTATATGAATTGGTTGGTGGGCGTATCGTGGATCTAAAGTCTGTGGCGGACAAATTTCTAGCTGGACAATCTCTCGAAGGTAAAATTGGTTTCATTATTTTGCATCAAATTAGATTTAATTGATTAACTCTTTTTCTGCTCTTTTTTTTTTCTGCAGCCATTAAACAGCAAATATTAACTGAAGTCAATAAGAAATTTTATTATGCAAAACTCCTTCCAGATCAAGCACGTCACGAAGCAGGAAAGCATGTTATCGGTGCATTGATTGATTCTAAGGAGATTCATACTAGTGTATTTAGAAATTTTATCGGTGATGAGGAATTCGGTGAAGTTTTAGGAGCTAACGTGTTTGCATATCATCCATCAAGAGATACCGTGACTTTTCAGTCTCAATCGGTAGAATACTATATTCGGGAAAACGCTAGTATATTCGGTAACACCCAAGAAGGAAAAAGGAAGATGTAATCGAATAGTTGTAATCGATCGTATAATAAAACGATTTAGGATTTTGATTTTTTTCAAGTACCAAGTAATAAAGAGGAAATAGACGAAATAATTGAATATGACATGCTTTCAAGGGAGAGAGTACGCGGATCCTAGGCCATTTAATGCGAGTCCCTGCGTCATATTGTTTTACTATATAAGATTTCTGAAATACAATTCCCACGATCCATAAACCAATTTGATCTAAAGTACTAATATAACCATTCTTCTTTTTAATATTTCTCTCATAAAACCCTAGTACCGTCGCCTTCTTAATATTTCCTCCCAATGAACGAATGTCCATAGCTACAGAAAGACACATATCTCCTCCAAAGTATAATTATTTTCGGTCATGATCTGATCAAAAATTTGCTTAAATTGATTCCAGACGGTCAAACTGATACCCGTGAACGTTAATTGTCCCGAGCTTGCAGAGGAATGATTTGAAGCTTGACCTGCGGAATGATTGGAAGCTTGACTCATCACACTTTGTTGATCGAATTTAATCTCTTCAGTTATTAGAATCATCGCATAACGTTGATTTATTTCACTTTGAAGAGTTACGATAGAAGCATTGATTGATTCGAATTCGGTTGCGACTATACCAAATTTGTTATGGTAGTTTTGAAGAACTTGTTCAATCTTATCAAGTCTCACAGTAGAAGTATTAAGCATTGCCAAGATTCTTTGGATCTCCGCTGTAAAGTTTTCGTCGAGTGAGGTAAGTTCAGTGTTAAATTTTGTACGGTAATCGGTGAGTTCGGTTAAGAACCCGGCATCACGATTGGCAAGAATTTCATTAAATATCGTATCACATGCAGAAGGGTCGGAATTGTCGATGTCTTGCTTGGTGATACGTGAAAAATAGGCTCTTAGAGCCATTACTCCGTAATAAAACGTGGCACCAATGAGCAAGTAAATGGAGATTTTCTGGACGAACATCAATAGGCCGGCGAAATCCAAAAATGGAGCGATCCCCGAAACTGCAAGTGATGTCATCTATAAGTGAGAGTTGGTCTATTAGCATATATGCACGAATGTGGGGAAAGTGTCATAGCATAAACAAACCTTAATCGTTAGAAATTAGATGCATTTTTGAGTGTATTAAGCTTTTTATTTATCGAGGGTAAGATTTATTAGTGGAGCTCACAAGGCTAAAATTTGTTAAATGTTTTATTCTCCAAAATCGTTAATTATTATAACGAAGGAGTAAAGGGTCTCGGATATTTTTTCACAGCCTTTTTATATAAAAATTACAGATCAAAATTTATTTATAGACTTGGACGGGAACGGACGAGAAATTGCCAGAACTTTTATTGCAAAGCAGGTCTATAGGGACGACTCAGGTATGTAAGCACCTTTTTTTCAAAATAATAACACAATGAAATATGACATTAGTATTAATATCACCATCTCCGATAATAATTCCAAACGTGAGTATTAACCTCCGTGAATAATGTGAATAGTGGACCAATTCAAATAATCAATCGACCTTGTAACTAACTCAATTAATTAATAATCTCACATCAATGGTTGACACAAACTACTATAATCTCGTTTTAGAAAAGCTTATTACCGACACTAACATATTTTATACGTTTCAGGTTTCTCTTAAATTCGTAAGCCCAACAGAGGAGAATCCTGT